TTTCTTACTCAGCTGAGAACTGGGTTCGCTTCCGCCGGAGAAGGGCCAGCGGGTCGGGGTGGGGGTGGGGAGGGGTTGAGGAACTGCAAAGATTTAGTGCACCTTAAAACAAAAGGACGTCTAACCTGCCCTTAGGTCTCACTCCAAGACGGACAAGAGCTATGGCATCTCCTACACTCACAACTACTCCAAACACACCCAGACGCATGCAAAACGTGTCCCGCTTCCCCTCGGCTGTGGGAGACCCCTCCTGGGCAGCAGGCAACGGCCAGCACCGGGCTCCAGCTCCGCTCCTGGGCCCTCCTGCCCAGTCCCAGCAGGCAGGGGCAAGGGGTTGATTATCCATCCAAAATGCATAGGTATAGACACCGCGGGGACCCCTGCATTCCGTCGGGAAGGGTCACCGCAGGAGCCCTCCGCATCCGGCAGACACGGTCTCCACTTGTACTTCCAGTTGGGTGGAAAGCAGCATTTGCCACAGGCACGGTTCGATCGCACTCGCGCTCCTTGCGCGGCCCTGCAAGGAAAGACGAGTCGTTTAGGTCAGACAGCCTCTTTGCCAGCCGCAAGCCCCTAGAAATACTCAATTCCGCTTCCTGGGAAATCCTCCGGCTCAGCGATCTCTCTTCCCTGCGCCAACCAGGCTCTCTTTCTGACTAAGGAGGAGCCGTATTTCCAACCACCGCTACGAAGGCGGGAGAACCCAAGAGGTCTGCTTTGGCTCAGAAACCCCGTTCGTTTGCAGCAGGCTGGCAGCACCCAGGTCCTCACACGCGCGCCTCGGCGCTGCTCTACTTGGGAGGTATCACGACTATGGGCTGGCCTCGCTTGGGTCTCCACATGAGGACTTGGGCATCGTTGGCGTTGGGTTTCACTAGTGCGTTTGGTGGGATGGGCTCCATCCTGCTGAGGATCCGGGGCTGCTCCTGCTGAGTCCTTCCCACCAGCCGTGCCCGCTGCCCCAGCAGCTGCATGGGATCGACCTCAATGTCCACTCGCATCCTCCACTTTATAGTCTGCAAGATGATCTTTTCCTTGGTGGTGGTGTTCATGGCCACCAGCCACGTGGTAAAGCTCTGGTCCCTTTTAATCCTGGTCAGCAGCGGCACGTTACTGTTGCTCACAGGGACAGCCCACGTCACGCTGGGGTAGAAATTGTCGTTCATGCTCACCGAGAACCTGGAGATCTTGTTAGTGGGCCCGACCAGGGTCACGGTTTCTGTGGTGTTTCCGTACCAGGGGTAGCTCACGCCATCCGAATCGCTGATGGCTTTTACTCTTCCTTCTCGCAGGTCGGGCAGCTCCCAGCTTGACCTAGGGAATGGGAAGAGAAAGGCCGGTTAGCAGGGCAATGGCAGCACCAGCGCCCAGGGAAGGATGGGGCGGGAGGGACAGGGAGGCAGGCAGCTTGGGAACCCCCTCCCTGCCTGCAGCAAGCTCTCGCAGACCTCCTTCAAGAACAAAGTCGGCTTCGGTTCCTTCACCGAGGCCCTCACAGCCGGCTGCAGCCTTCGCTCTGCCGGCACTACGCTATTTTAATTAACCTGCAATCAAACCGACTGGGCCAAAACTCATTGCCGAGTCTCTCTGGGGCCACTCTCTCCTTAATTGGCTCCTGCGCCGGAGAAGAGCCTTCCCCATCCGCAGCACCACGGCCAC